CACCCCCACTCCTTTCTTTCACAGTCAGGCCTTTGATAAAATATAATGTTCTAAACTGGTGTCCTGATTCTAAAGAATAACTCAAAACAGAATTGATTATGAATAGATTTAATGAATAGAATGTTTTAGATATTTAGCAGAACCTAAAAGTTTCAACTCTTCTCCCATTTCAATGGCCACATACATTTTCTATAAAATAAAGAGGAGGAGAACCTTGTAAGCTGCTTTTGGTTCCTTGCAAGAGAGAAAAGTGGAGTATACATGCAATATAACAATAAAGATAATATCATTACTACTACAGTGCTTAGTTTGGAGGAAAATCCATCTACGAACACAGAAAGACAGGATGGGTGTCTTATAAAATGTGTTTTATTATCAGCCTAGTTTTATTTATTTTTTAAGCAGCAGCCATTTAGAGTCAGAATACAATTCTTAAGTTTTTACCAGTACATTGAAGTTTTTACTAACAGTGAAACATTCTGGTTCTATGAAGGTACACATTCCAACACATTAGATAAAGCAAGTTCTGAAACTGCTCTGACATTGCAGAGAAAAAACTAAACAGCATTCAGTGTAGATTGGCAAAATTATTCCAGTTTTTAGTAATGAGATTGTTCAATGAAACTTCAGGCTGCATTCGTATACACTGCAACTGCAGCCTAGTAAGACCCCAAGGGGACTTACTTTTGAACAGACATTGTAGGACGTCAGTGTTCCTTCCGTTCATTCAGACTTTTACTCCCAGTGCTCATTCATTGAGGGGAGGGGATAAAACTTTGACAAAGTCTTGTTTACAGCAGTAGATTATGCTATTGACTGAATGCCCTTTCCTGGCCTTTCATGGTGCAGGGGTGCAGACTGCAATTAGAATACACATGTAATTGATCGCAAGGGTTGAAATCAAACATTTTAAGACCAGAATCATTGATCTGCACATCAGGATCTCTTGTTAGTTTCAGAGCTCTCCATTTTTCTATATGCCACTTATGTATCATGGCTGTGCTCACAAATCCTAGTCCCTGACTTCGCCAGCTTACTTTTTAAAAGTTTGCATATACTTAGTATATGCCTAAAGAAATAATTTGTTTGCATAGCCAGGCAATTATTTTCTCTTCCATATAAGTTATTCCCCATTTAAAGCAGCAGCAGATTGACTCAACTGACTAGTTGGCTCTTAATTAGGGAACTGCTGCAATTCTACCACGTAAACCCATGATTAAAATACGCACCCAAAAATACATTTCAGCACATTTTATCTTTTGTTTATGGGCAACATTGTTCCAGCTGCCATTAGCATAGCATCAATTCAGTCTGGGTACTGTATATAATCCTCCCTTGGTTGACAGTGCTTCTGGGCACAGAAATTTCTCTTTGAAAGAGACATGCTGAATTTCGCCTCTCTCAAGGAACTCAGTTGGCTGGGGAGGGAGAAAAAGGGAGTTAAATGTTCATTATAAGGACACGCAACAGTATTCTACTGGAACAATACCAGACAGGAAGTATGCATGATACATGGGGAGCCTGAGGAGTGAACTGCCTGCACATAACCCCTTACTGCCTCAAAAATGCCAAAATGACCTTCCAGCAGTCTTCCCTGCTCCGGTCCCTGTTTTGCCACTTTCCAGCCAGGGGCATCTTTTCCACTGGACTTCCACCAGCTGCAGCTATTCCATATCCTTCGTATCCACACAAACTGCAAACTTTTCAGTTTGCGCAATATGCATGTTTCCACAGAAATGACACTGAATTATACCACAGTTAGCTCTGGAAAATCTGTGACATTCTCAGTCAATCACGGCAAGGATATGAAAATCAGCTCAACAGCCTATTCCACAGCCATGCAAGATGCAACAGTGCACCTTTGAGAAGCTCTATGAAGCTGGACTTCAGTGGGACTTAATCAGCACATCAATAGGAATTAATTCAGTTCCTTTAGGAGGGTTGTGAAGTAACTGGAGAATGGTAAAACCCAATGTAGACAGCACTCTCCCCTACACACACAACTTCATCACATTAACACTTTTTAGCTGCCTGGCTTATGAAAACCGCACATCCTGCTGCCTGCTTCAACATCTGGCTTCCTAGATATTATGCTTATGAAGGCATATGAGAGCAAGAGACATGTCAGACGGATTTATCACTGATGGTCAGACCACTTAAGCAGCAGCACTGAGAGTTTAAATGGGACTTGTCATCTCTGCCCACCCCCATCTCTGAAGCGAGTTGGAAACTTCCTCTAGTTCAGCCTTAAGCCATATGTCATGGTTCCCATCTCTCTGACAGCTCTGCTCATTAGCTACAAGTTGCACTTTGGGGAGGATCTTTGAAAAAGCGTCTTGTCCAGGAGGACAGTCTGAGATCCTGGCTCTGCAAGATCAGAACAAAAGCTAAACAAGAGCTAAATAAAAATAGCACTGTGCTTGTAGCACCAGAATTGTGGGATTGACAAAAGAGCTGAGGAGAAAGGGGCCAAGAAGGCTGCTAGTGGGCTTAGGAGGCTGCATAGATCTATGAATAATGGGCTCGATCCTCCGTTACAAAAGCAGTTGTGCCTGTTTTGCCACAGCTGAAATTTGACTGCAATGGGCAAAATGCAGTGATTTCACTTTAGTGTGTTTTGTATCATTTAGTTTTAATTTTACTTTAAACAACAATCCTGCCTTAAATAAAAAACTGAGATTTTCTTCTTCCTTCGAAGAAATACTGTGATTCCTAGATATAACTTGCCAGCTTTGTAAAAGCCAATGCTGTTGCTGGTTTGCTCTTAGCAAAATGTTTCCTTCTTTCGAGTTGTTTTCATCCACTAATTCAGAGCTGTAGGCTTCAAAGCAGGAGCTCTTCTGAGCATCTAATGCAACACGGGTTCAGGTTGGTTGCTTCGGTGTGTTTAGATAAGCTCTCCATCCATTTTGCACTACACACTTGTTGTAAACTACCCAGAAAGTTTCAGCTACAGTAGGTACATTAACAAAATTAATAAATAATATTACTAAAAGGGCCACCTTCCACTGAGGAAGGCTAGGGAGCTGCACGACTGACCAAGGGGCAAGGAATGCAAAATTAAATTATTTTTAACACAGCAGATAAGAGAGCCTTAAGACATGGCCACTGCACAAATCCAAGTGGATAGTGACAGCAGGCTGCCTATTTTTTCCAATCTACGGACACATGTTGAATACTTCCTTTAGGGCGCCCTACACAAGATCTCGGTCGGGCCTCTTCACAGATCGACAGTTTCTGCCTACTTTGGACGCCTTCCCAAGGCAAAAAGAAAAACCCTCTCTGCACTGCAAGCCTGGGTGCAGGATTCCCTTTTTTCCAGCCCGCCACTGCGAGGAACGGCTTCTCTCCACCTGAGGTTCCACATCCGGCGCAGAGTGCTGCAAAGAGCAGCCTCACACTTACCGGGGAGCATCGCTCCCGTTTCGCTCTCCCGACATCCGACGGGGGAGACTGTCACCTGCCGTCGAAGCCTCTTCATAGCGCAGTCCACCCAGTCGCGCCTGCCCCGGACCGTTACCCCGCGCAGCAGCAGCAGCGCGGCCCCCGCGCCCAGGGAACGCGGGCCCGCTCTCACGCTCACGCGGAAGCGATTCGGCCTACTTCGGGCCCCGTTCTGACGTCGCCACTTCTCATCACGGTTTAGAAGCCTTAGACAAAAGGGGACCCCGAAAGCCACGCCGCAAGCGAAGGGCAGGGCGAGAAAGGCGCGCGGCCGCAAGGGCCAAGGGCGCCCCGCACTGAACCGCGCGCGCGGGCCAGAGCCCGGCCCAGGGACGCGCCGGCCACTGCACGGCTAGGAGGCCGGGCGCAAGCGGCTCCTGCGAGCGTCCCGACGCTTACTGCGGAGGCCGCTCTCCTCTTGCAATCCCAGCGTTCACTTCAGCCCTGCTCGAGAGACGAGAGACGACAGCCGCAGCAGCAGCGCGCCGCGCTTCCCCAGTTCCGAACGGGCCAGCCGAGACCTGCACCGCTCCCGCGCGCCCAACAGAGCTCTCTGGCTCCCCGCGCAGCCGGGCGCCACTCGCCCGGGCGCGCTGGAGCCGAGTCCGAGCAAGGCCGGAGCAGACCACCAGCGTTTGCATCGGACTGCGTGCATAAGGGGAAGGGAGCTGGGGAGCAAGTCTTCGGCCATCTGCACGGCTGGCCTGTGAGTTGGGACGGGACGGGGCTGCCTTTCTGAAGCGGGATCTCCCCCCAACCCCGAGGAATTGATCTGGGCAGCCGAGAGTCACCCCATAGACCATTAGGGGAGCGGGCACTTGATGCCCGGCGGTCCGAAGCGTCCCCGCTCGGAAGAGGATCCCCGATGGTGACTTCAGGATTGCGTGCGTGAGGGCAGGGGCAGCTTCGTCTTGAAACGGGACAGGGAATGCCTGAGTGCCCTCCGTCCTCCGGCCAAGCGCCTGCGCTCCTGTTCGCTTCCCCTTCCGTAAGGGACTCGAGCCTTGTTCGACGGGCATCCCTCACTTCGAGGCGAGAAGCGTAGGCAGAGAAGAGAAAAGAAAAGAAAGCGGCCCCAAGCACAGGGAAACTCTGACAAGTGAAGCCTCAGTCCGTTACCTAGACAGTCCAGGTGGCATTTAGCAGCGGTGCACACATGTAACTGACGAGCGCAACCGAGGGCCCTTTAGCGGGGCTCGGTCGGTGAAGCCCTACTCACCGACATCCTGGGGGTTGTGTGCGCGGGAGGGGACGAGTGCGTGTGGCGGAGGGGCGGGGGTGAGAGGCGATTTCTAAGCCCCAACTTTGGAAGGATAGGCGGGCTGGACAGAGAGAAGTGGACAGGCCAGGCTCACTATCTCGGCCATGCTACCCAGGCTCTCAGAAGGCCCGTGAAAGGGGGATCTTTCGTTAATTCGCCGCCGACCCCCGCCTGGTCTTCCCCACCTCGTAGGAAGCCCCGGGAGGCAACGGCCGCTCTCCTTCCTCTTGCAGTTTAACTCGCCTCCCCGCGAAGCTAACGCGCCGGCCCACCAGCCCTCCCAGGCCAGGCGTACCTGTACCAGGTTAGTCCCCGCTCGTAATTGCGATCGAAGAAGTGGGGCTCGGCGCCCACCGCCCGCACGTCCGGGTGGACCCGCAAGAACTCGAGCAGCGCCCGGGTGCCGCCCTTCTTTACGCCGATGATCACCGCCTGGGGCAGCCGCTTGGTGCCGGCGCCGTTCAGGAAGCTGGAAATGGGGCTGGGGGAGTCCGGGGCCGCCCCGTCGCCGCCGTCGTCCTCGTCGTCCTCGTCGGTGTCCGGATCCAGGCTCAGCTGGCCCTTGGAGGTCGGCGGCCGCAGCAGCAGCAACTTGGGGGCCGCGGGGCTGTGCGCGCGCCGGGCGGGGGCCGAGGAGCCCAGGAGCAGCAGCCCCGGCGTGGCGGCGGCGCACGACCCGGCGGCGCACGAGTACACCATGCAGAGCCACAAGGCGAGCATAGTGAAGAGCAGCAGCAGCAGCAGCAGCAGCAGCCTCCTTCGCCCCGGCGGGAGGAGCAGCGGCGGCGGCGAGGCAGGGGCGCCGGGGGCATCGGGGAGACGGCAGCCGATCAGGCGCAGCTGGCCCATAGGCGGCAGCCCGCGGGCGGGAGCCCCGGCACCATGGCTCACGGGGCCCAGCCGGCGCGACTCGGCAAGGGCGGCAGCAGCGGCTCAACAGCGCGGCATCGCCCGCCCGCTCGCCTGCTCCCTCCCCGCGATCAAGCCAGCGAGTGGCGACCGCCCCGGCGCGCCTTTGCCTGCCAGGCTGGAGCACCGGAGGGCGGAGAACAGGCGCGCCTGACTGGCACCCCTCCGAGCCTATAAGAGGCGCCCGCCGCATGGTAATTAGCCCCCCTTTTGTTGATCAAAGGCAGCCAATGGCGGGCCAGTTCTCCCCTGGAGGGCGGGGAGCGAGGAACTGCGGGAGGCGATTAGCCATTCTTATTGGCTAATGAGCCGTTAAAGAGCCGGGGGCGGTGAAAAGGTTATAGACAGACGAGGCCGGCAGGCGTTTGGAGATGTGCGGCGGCAGCGGCGGCGGCGGCCTCTCCGCCGAGCTCGCTTTCCCATCCGCGCTGCGAAGAGCCCCATTCCAGCGCTGGCGACCCTGCCGGGTTCTGTCCTGGGCGAGGAAAGCCAAGGTGGCCGGGCAGGGCTTGCTCGTGGGCCCGCCCGGGGAGGCGCATGACAGCCGCAGGCTCTGGGACTTGACGGGGCCACGTGGACCAGCGCCGCGGCGCAGCGTTTGCTCCAGTGAACCCAAAGGCGCGGGCTGGGAGAAGAGGTTTCTGGCCCGTGCCCGCCGCTCCCGCTCGAATCCCCTCGTAGCTGGAAGCAGGGCGCTTGGTGGCGGGAAATGCCAGGGAACTTAGTGGGACTGAATGCCGCGCGCAGTGGGGCAGGTTTGGGAGCTGGGAGCGCACATCTGCCCCGCGTGACCTCCCTGCTCTCCACCGCCGGGCTTCCGAGTGCTCACGGCGAGTGCTGGCATTCCCTTCACTGGACAAGGCACTGGTGAAAGGGAATCTGAGGCGTGGGGACTCGGGAGGCCGCCTTGGAAGGAGTCGCGCTCGTGGGCATTCCTGCCGCTCTGTGCTGGCGGCACTGGTGGCCTTCCGGGCTTGCAGACGTGGGCTTTGCCAGCCCTACCTGGAAAGGCCGGAGTTCGAACCCGCGGCACGAGTGGGCTGCACCACCGCTCCTGATCTCAACTTGGGCGCGCAATTGTGCTCTTATGGGGGTGGTTCCATTGGGTCGAATCCAACGTTGGACCTACTTACGTCTGTGTGTGTATTTATAAGTATATACATGGGAGAGCCAGTGTAAGAGTGTAGGACTGGGACTCAGGCAATCCAGGTTCTAGCCCGCACTCCGCCCTGCAGCCAATTGGGTGACTTTAGGCCAATGCAGATGCTCAGCCCAACCTACCTCACAGGGATGTTGTTGTAGGGATTAGATAGGAAGAGGAGGAGAATGATGCAAGCCCCTTTGAGTTCTTTGTATGAAAAAGGCGGGAAATAAATCTAAAAAAATCAATCAATTCACATGTAGCGAATACGCGTAAAGTGGCCGTGATGCAAGCTTAGTTCATATTAGCGGGTCTGCTTTAGGCAGGGCTAACACTGGAGACGTGGCAGCGTGGCAGGGCATGCGTTCGTCTGATTTGCTCAAAGCTTCCCGGGCGTTGATTTCTACCACGTGGCTACCAGGCTCTTGCTCCGCCTCGCCCTGTCACGCCTCCAAACCGCAACGCCTCTTCGCCTCCCGCAATCCGCAGCTCCGGCTCCCCGCACCCTGTAGACATACCGCCGCTCAGAAACGGAGACCTCCTCTGTCGAGGATCAGGCCCTCCCCCTCCCCGTCGCTCCACAGGCCCTCTCCGTGCCTCATCTCTCGAATCACTTCGAAGCTTCCTGTTTCAGCTTGTCCTTTTTTACAGCAGAGCCAATAATAATAGTAGTAGTAGTAGTAGTAGTAGTAGTAGTAGTAGTAGTAGTAGTAGTTGCTGCTGCTGCTGCTGCTGACTGGCAAATAGGGTGTTCTTGCTAACATAGAGATCAAAGCGCCATTTGAAATCCGTTCAAAGCCTTTCTGCTAGAAGATGAAGACAATTACGAAGTAATGAGCCCAGAGTATGAGACAACTTAAAGCCAAGCAGCACAATGTTTTATGTTTGACTACTCAAAAGTAAGTCCCATTGAATTGAACGGGTTTATTCCCAGGTCAGTGGACGCAAGTTTGCACGGCTAGAATTAAAGCCCATTCCAGTCCTGAAAGCCTGTCCCATCTATGGGAATGGGTCTTCTTTCCGCCCTTCGGATAGATGGCTCAAAGAGACGTTTCCCCAAGAAACCCTGCAGCCCTCTCGGCCCCTTCTTACTTTACCGTGAGAAGGCCCTTTCCCTTCCCTCTCCAGATTCAGAGCTGCTTCCACCGGAGAGCATCGGGTGGGATGCTCGGGAAGGGCAGCGCCACTTCCTTCGTTCCTCCTTCCTCCGTTTGCCCCTCGTTCATTCCCCGCCGCCCCCCCCCCCCCACGGGGTCGTTCCTGCCCACATGGGCAGGGAGAGGGAGAGGCGGGCTTGTGCACCCAGGGCAGAGCTGCTGCTCCGCCGGGCCCTCGGGGGTCCCGACGTCCTGCTCCGAGCGGAGGGAGTGAAGCGGCCCCGATGCAGAGAGGGGCCCTGCCGCACCGTCGGCTCCCGCCCGGGCTCCTGGCGCTGGCTTCGGGGAGGAGCGGGCGCTCCGAGCGTCTCTTCTTGCTGCGGCTCCCGCTGCACCGCACGCAGCCGTGTCGCATCCCCGGCGGCTCCTCAGAGAGGGCGGCTCTGCCTGGCATCCTGCGGGAGGAAGGGAAGATCCCTCCCCGGAGGGAACGGAGCCCTTCTTGGCGCGCAAGGTCCTCCGAGGCAGGGAAAGAGGAGCGCGCCGTGAGGCTTGCCTGGGAATCCGGATCGCAAAACCAAGGATCTCCTAGCTCTGCGTGGGTCACGATCCCACCTCCGAAGGAGGCGGAGATGACACTGGTGGCGTCTCAATTCACGCTTCTCGGAATATTTTCCCACGTGACGCTACTTAGAGCTGCAAGCTTAAGGTCAGGTATATAGAGGTAAAATCCAACTGAAATCATCGGGCACATGTATGTGGGAAAGAGCGTAAGAACGCGAGTGTACCTGCTTCCCCCCGGCCCCGCGCACTCAAGGCGCGCACCAAACGCCTCGGAGTCTCTCTCACTCCCTTTGCGCCGTACACCCAACCTGCTCCGGTTTGCTAGAATGCAGGAGAGAAATTACATGGACAGTCTCCCGTGACTTGAGTTATACACGTGCATAAAAGCAACGTGTTGTTTCCCTTAACAAGATAGAGTAAAATAAAGGGAAACCCCATCTCTCTTATTGGTGTACAGGTGTACCCGATTTCTGATTGAACACTAAAACGAGCCACCAGTAAATCAAATGTATACTTTTCTAACATGGGTCTGAAAAATAACTGTGCCCATGTCGTCTGAAAGCGCATTCCCACAACTTCCTGCTGGGTACAGATTCCGATGTTTCCTTCAGGTAAGGTGTTTCCAAGGGTTTGCTTCTTTCTGCTTGAATGCCAAGTCCCCAGGTTTCGAATGCTGGACCGGGACTCCCATCCACGCACTTTTAGAATACACCCCACTGAACTTAACAGGGCTAACTCACGAGTAGACATGAATAGGATTTCACTGTTGGTCCTGAACTGAAACACGAAGGTCCCGATCCTCCAGTGCAAGTCGATTCAGAACAAGTGGATCGGAGAAGTGGATCGAAGTAGGAATCAATCCATCATGACTCGGAAGCAAAGGACACCGAATTCTAAACGGATTCGCTCCTGTATATGTCTAAAACTGAAGACCCCGTTAACAAGGAAGAGGGTCTGCAGGGAACTATAGATTAAATTAATTTCTGCGTATTGTTACTCTTGCTATGATATATGAGTATCATATGTGAATTTGAAATGAACGAAATGGAAGAAATATCAGAACACTGGGAGTCTTGCAATTTTTTAATACGTGGCCCCCTTTGATGTGAAGCGTATTACTCTGGCACGTCGGAGTTAGCCACTCCAGAGCTTGTAAAACCGGCAAATAACACTTTCCAAAGTGCCGATGCAATAGGATGTCCTTTATCTTCTGAAACTGTTTCAGCGGAGTTTACTTTCCCCATCTTTCTCGGTCATGTCCAAGAAGCCCCAGTTCTTCGCATCTTCACTTGTCGGTTACAATAAGGGGGTTGATGCATTCTTCTTGCGAATGAAGAAAACAAAACTTTATTCAGCATTACATAGGAAATAGTAGGAAGATAGCAATTCCTCGTTGAACTCATCAGAACTCACTTTCGGGAATACAGGGTTAGGATCCTGCTTCGATGCTATTACTACCTAGGAGTAAACCTCATTGACCCGCACTGGGGTTTACTTCCGAGGAGACACGTAAAGGCCCCCACGGCAATTACACTCAGGCCAGTGGCTGAGGATCTCGCGGCCAGCGGCGCCCAGATTTTGCCACGTTTCCTCATAAATGAGCTCCTGCCGGTTTGCGGGGTGGGTGTTGTTCTCGCTTGCTCCTTCTGCTTGGCGGGCGAAGCCAGGGGGGTTTCGGACGCCCTCACATCGAGACGCGCCTCTCCAGAGAGTGGACTAGCCTGGCGCTCCGCAGCACCCGAAACTTTCCGGAGTTTGAAGAGAGAGAGGCACCGAAACGTGGACCAGTGGAGGGAAAGCGGCCCTGCGCGGACTTTCTGGGCTGCTGTTGCGCTGCGGTGAGACAGGGGACAAGGCAGACCTGGATCGGCTGCGAGCGGCAAGGATTTGTGATGTCCAAGTATTTCACAGTAACAACAAGACCCCCCCCCCCCCCCGCGCGCACACGCAGACACACAAAAATGCAGCCGAAGAGAGGTTGGGTCGGAGAGGCGGCCGCGTTTTGCGCGGCCCGTTTTGCGCGCTGTCCGCGCAGCGCCGGTAGTCGAAGCGAACTCGTGCGCTCAGGATCCTTTGCATCGAAGCGCACTGTTTGCGCCCGGCTTCGGTTGGTGGATCTGGGCGGCTCAGGCATGGGGGAAGGAAAGCGGGCCCCGCAAGCCCGAAGCGCGGCGGGAGCGGGAGGAAGGGGAGAGAGAGGCGCTGCGACGCAGCATCGTGGCGCAAGTCGGATCTAGAATTCGGATCGAAACAAGGACTG